TAATAATATAAATCTTAAGAACATATGAAACATTTTCGAGATTTGTGACAAATAAAAACAATCAATCTGGATAGGACTCAAAATTATCCGAGATCCCAGATTTTGTCCTGAAAATTATAAAGGCCTCAAACTTGGAAGAATTCTCAGGGCTCTAAAAACTGAAGACTTTAGTTTAAAGAAATCTGCCGAGGATAACAATTTTTGAGAAAAATTTAAAAATAATTAGAGGGTCGATTCCAAAGAAATTCTAAGGATGTTTTCTGTAAAGAACTGGGAAAATTCAAAAGGAGTTTTGATTAGAACTCCAAGATAATTCTGAGATTAAGTCCTAAGAAGATGTTCTCCTTAGAATCCCAAGGATGAGGAAGCCCTGAGATGAATTCCAAGGGATTTCTGTGGAGAAAAAAGGAAGTTCTGAGTTGAATTTCTATGGTATTTTGAGGAGAGTTTTATGAGATTCACCAAGAGAATACAAGGCGAATTTTAGGGAGAATTTCAAGAAAAATCTGATCAGAATTAAAAATAATTATAAGCAGAATTTAAAAGGTATTTGAAGGATAATTAAATGTGAATATTGAGGAACATTCAGAAAAGAATTCTGAAGGAATTCCGACAAAAATATCAAAGAAATCACTTTTTGAAGGTAGATTAATTAAAAATTTAAGATAATTTAAAAGAATTTGTGAAAAGTTTCAAGAAAATATAAAAGAGAAATCCAAGAAATTTGTGGTGGTTTTGAGGTCTATGAAAATTTTGAGGAGAATATCAAAGGAATCTTACCCTCATAAAAGTTGCAAAGGAAGAAAGATTAAGAAATATTCCAAGGAAATTTTTAGGAGTCTGTTAAAGGAATTCGTAAGATAATTTCCAACAGAAGTTTCTGGTTAGTTTAAGGAGAATTCTGTGATATTCTGAAAATGTAATATTGATAAAAAGAATAATGTACCTACGTCCTACATCCCTAAAAATTAAAAATCAAACCTATAGTTAAGATGATTTTAGAAATAAAACTCCGGGTTTTTCCTCGGGTGCCTAACATATTATTCCCGGTTTGATATAAACACACATATTTCACCCCCCAAATACATGTTCTTTCCTTCTAGTATCGTTTCAAAAAGTAAAAAATTCTTGTGAACTTTTCGAGATTTCAAACTTCTTCTTTCTTCTTTTTCGCATATTAGCTTATTGTGTGCTCTCAACTTAGTGTTCTAAATGCACTTCCACAGTTATTAATTGAGAGCTTTCGATGCCAATACCAATGCATGAATTTGTATATTGCGTGGTAAGCACAATGATACTCTATGCCCAGGGAAGTCGAGAAAATTTCCAACCCGAAAGATTCCCTCGATCGGACCGGGAATCGAACCCGCCACCTCCGGCTTGGTAATACCGTGCCTTTACTGACTAGGTTATGAGGCCCCTAAGATTTCAGACTTCAAAAACCTTAAATTTTAATAATGGTCTTATTTTCAAGATTTCAGATTGAACAAAAACCGTAAATCTCGATTACTTTTTCGAAGGGACGTATCAGCTTTTGTAAACAATGCATTTGATCGTCGATTTGGCGTAACTGGTAGCTCGCCCACGCATACTAATGCTACCATCAGATAAGGGAAAAAGTTCCCTATCTGATTGTAGTGTTAGTATGCGTGGGCGAGCTACTAATTACGACAAATCGACGCTTCAAATGCGTTGTTTACAAAAGCTGATACGTCCCTTCGAAAAAGTTATCGAGAAATATAGAACTAAGATACAAATTTAGGATTCTGACACATTGAAGTATTGTTTGAGGAATTATTATGATGAGAATGCCAAATGAATTTTGAAGAGAATTGTAATCCTCTGCAATTTACTCTCTTTAGGAATACTGAGGACAATTCTGAAGGAATTGAACTGAGAACTTCCAGGCTTTTTGAGAAGAATTTAAAGAAAATTGTCAGGAGAACTAAAGGTGCATTCCAAGGCAATTCTAAAGAAACCTTCATTGGGATTGTAAGTAGAATTCCAGAGAATTCTAAAGCAACTCTGAAGGAATTTCGACAAACGTAGTGATACAATTCTGACACTACCCTTAATGATCACCTACGTTAATGAATCAAACAAACAATCAGAAAATTTTGAGGAGAGCTCCACTTGAACATGGAAAATAATTAAAAAAAAAAAACATAATTCTGAATAAAATAAAAAAATAAAAACTTTGTAGAATCCTGATGAATGTGTGCGTCTTAGTGGGCTAAGGTAGTGGAATTAAATGAAAATGACTAATCCTTCCCTTTTTCAATAAAGTTTGTAAAATTTTAAGCTAGTTTAAAGATAGTTTGGGCCTCCCTTAGATCATGCTGGAGGTGGCTGGGTTCGATTCCCGGTCCGGTCTAGGAATTTTCCGGGTTGGAAAATTTCTCGACTTCCCTGGGCATAGAAGTATGATTGGACTTGCCACACAATTATAGTAATGCAACAATGGTACAGGCTTCGAAATCTCTCAATTAATAACTGTGGAAGTGCATCTAGAACACTAAGTTGAGAGCACGCAATAAGATAATATGCTATAAGCAATAAACTTGAAATGCGAAGAGGAAGGCAGGAATGAAATAGTTTCAAGAATTTTCCGGTGTCCCTAGAGGAAATATTGAACATTATTTAAAAAAAATCAGAGGAGCGTTCCCCATAAGATTGTATAGAAATTTCCAATTCGGAGGAGAGTTTCATGAGAATTCCAAAGATAATTCCATAAAATCCTAAGAGATTCTCTAAACGCAATTTTGAGAAGAATTTCAAGATGTTTTTTTTTATCATGAGTAAAAATTACCCTGCAATTCTGAGGTAGAATCCACGGAAGTTTTGGAAGAATACGTTTTAAATTTTTTGGTGCATACCAAGGAATTTCTGTGGAATATTTCAAGAGAATTTTAAGAAACACTATGGAGAGAAATTAAAGCAAATTCTCGTGAGGAATTATAAAGAGTACGAAAATAAATGTAGACTGAATTTTCAGAATATTCTGGAGGAAATCCCTAAAACACAGAATTCCGGATCTGTTATAAAGAAGCTTTATAGGAAGTACTTGAGAGAATCAAACGCATTATTTTATTCTGCAAGAGCTGTAATCTCGATATTTGTGTTGCATTGGCCAAGAATAAAATGGAAGGGCAAAAGTCTAGATGAGGAGAGATGATTGATTTGTATAGCTGTATTTTACTGGCAATAGTTAAATCGTTTTTCAGTCGACACAGAATTCCATACTTCTTGGCAATTTTCTTGATGACATTGTCAATGTGAGAGTTGAACTTAAGATATTTAATCTCCCGAACGCGATCAATAGTCTCATCATCAATTACAACAGAGACGTTCTCATTTACTCGATTCCGCGAAATTACCATAAATTTAGTTTTACTTGTATTTAATTTTAACTGCTTATACTTCAACCATCTACTTAGAGAACGCAAATCTTTATTCAAGTGTAAAACTGCATCATCTAAATCCTTAGCTGCAATGAATAACACAATATCATCTGCAAAAAGATTAATGTCGCAAAATCGTAAAACACGTCGCACGTCATTAATATACATAATATAAATAACAGGGGCCCTAATACACTTCCCTGGGGCACTCCAAGGTTATTCCCCACGGGACTGGAAACAGAATCATTAAAAACAGTCCGTTGAGTTCTGTCAGACAAATAGCTTTCAAACCATTTATATGCAGTACTCGTAATTCCAAAGCGCTTGATTGATCTTAACAATAAGGGCCTAGAAATTGTTTCAAAAGCGCGTTCAAGAACAGCAACAATCGTATCTTTACACTCCAAGTTATTTGTCCACTTTGCTAATACCAAATTCAACGCGGTTTTACAAGAATGACCTTCCCGATATCCCGATTATTCCTGTATCAATAATCTATTACACTGGAGTCGCTTTTTACGCGGTTTTTTTTACACGGTTTTTTTTACGTGGTTTTTTTTTACGCGGATTTCGGAATTTACGCGGTTTTTTTTACGCGGATTCCGGAATTTACGCGGTTTTTTTTTACGCGGATTTTGGTTTTTTTTACGCGGATTTCAGAATTGACGCGGTATATCGCTTTTTACGCGGTTTTTTCTTACACGGTCTTTTTTTACGCGTTTTTTTTTACGCGGATTTCGGAATTTACGCGGTTTTTTTTTACGCGGATTCCGGAATTTACGCGGTTTTTTTTTACGCGGTTTTTTTTACGCGGGACGTATCACCCGCGTAAAAAGCGACTCCAGTGTACTATTTAAATACTCCAACAGCTGGCCTTTAACAACAAGTTCTAAAATTTTCTCTAATGTGTACAACATGTTAGTGGGACAAAACTCTTCGGCTTTAATCGTTCCAGCAACTTTTTGAATAGGGACCACTAAGGATTCCTCCAAATTTGTGGCACATGTCCAATTTACAATGATTCATTAATAAGGTCCAGCAAGATGTGGCCAATGACATGAAAGCAATCTTGAATAACTCTAGTAGATCCTACAACCAAATGAGCTAAAACTTTCAGAGAATGGTTTTCTCGTCTGAAGGCACAAATCTAGAGGTTGGCCTGTGGAAAATTAGAACTTTTATTGTTGTGGACGAGTCTAGTGTTGCATCAAGTTTGAACAAGGACTAAAATATGGTCGAGAAATACACGAATAAGTATGATTTGCTGCATTTTAGACACAAATTAAAAAAAACTGGGCGCTTATCTCAACAAATATAATTTCAAATATTCTGTAGCAAGATGATTTTTCGGGTTTCTCAAATTGTCGACTTTTTCCCGGTTTTCCTGGTAGAGTGTTGTCACCCTGATTCAACTACCCTTTTGGCAACCCTGTCTGCGATAACACCACCTGTTAGACGTGTGCCCATTCACGTTACGCAGGTTTTCCTCAACCTTCGATCAATATTTGCGAAGTTATCATCGAAGCCCCCATTATGACTCAAACAATGTAAAATAATTCCCAACCGATGCACAATTATTACAACTAGTAATATAATTACCTTATTTTCAAATCTGTCACGATTTCAGTAGGATTTTCCTTTCAGCTGGAATTCACACACTAACACAAGCGAAAGCGCGTACCTCCTGCTCAAAGACGACGCTAACAACAGCAACAACACAGCTATGCGTCGCTCTTGTTACGATCCAAAAAAAAACCTGCCAACAGAAGGAGTAGTCCGAACGACGACGTCGGACGGGTTTTTCACCTTTTCTTCTCGACTTTTTTTCACCTTTCACTCCTCTAAAGCACTGATGCACTTTCTGCCACTCTTTCACTCATTCACACTAACGCACTGCAAAACGAAATAAAACCGCTTTTTTCGATTTTCTCTCACCCCTTTCTTCTTAATCAAGATTTTCGTTGCTGTTGCTGCGCCTGCTGCTGCGATGAGCAATTTTATCAAACTGGTTTTGCTACTACTGCGGCTCGACAATCTCAGTGCCGACCGATAATTGCTCGCGTTTTATCTAAATGAAACAAAACCTAAAGCCGCGAAAAAAAATCAATTAGCGCTGGACAATTTCACCACCTGTGAAAATTTCCACGGCCCAGCACTCAGTTGTAGTAATAGCGGAAGGAAACAGAGCGAGCCTTCGGTCAGTGATCGCTATGAGGACGGGAAAAGCACATTTCCATACGCGAAGAACGAAAAAACCTACACACTTTTACCCACTCACGCAACTAACCAAACATTATGTTCACCCAACACTCGCTCTCTCCCTCGCTCTTCAAGAATAATCGATTTTCTTTTGCATAAACTTTTCATCGGATTTTCCGACCGTTCCTACACAGAACAGAGCCCACCACAAGGATCCTTCTTGCTTTCTTCACTCTCGCTCTTCTCTCGCCACCCGTGGAAAGATGTTGTGTGAAAATTCGTCTGATAACACTACACTCTCTGACGTTCTCGTTCTCGCACTCTCTTTCTCCGGAGTTTCACCACCCTCAGGGGAGCTTCTGAAATGTCACCTCACTGCTGGCTGCTCTTCTTGCTCTTGCTGACTGAGTGACGGAGGCCTGCTAGGTGATTGAATAACTGCTCCCGGACGCGATGATGACTTTTGACAGGTTCGATATTTTGCACCTCACTATCAAAAACAATCGATACCGAAAATTCACCAACCGCAATTTTAACTTGACCCTTAAAAAGCAATCATCGATCGAAAGCAGTAATCAAGACGAACCTCGACGAAAAGAACAACACTGCTTTTCCTCTAAAGCAAAATCAAAAAACGAATGCCTGCTCGCAATCTCCCCCACTCTGTAAAATTTCAAATGCTGCAGCTAACTTCACCACACTCACTCACTCTCTTGAGACACCACAAATCAAAACTGACTGGAACTTGAAGGAAAGGAAAAAAAAAAGTGAATTTAATCGGCTCGCTTCTCGGGCCGTCTACCTGCACCAAAATTGGATGCAGATTTCGACGCGGTTTTGTCGGGTGGAACTCGCGATGCTTGGTTCGTTGTTTCACCACACACTATTCTGGGGGACCGGTCGGTGCGTATTACTATTTATTATTACTGCGATGGCGATGATTTGAGAATGTGGAATTGAGAAACAAGGGAAAAAGTATAGTGTGTTGTGCTGGTCACACAAAAACGGCGGCGGGGACGTACGTGTAAACACGACCTACGGCTTTCACGTCACTTCTAACAGTGAAGGTGCTTGGCTGCCGCTCCGGCTAGCAGAGCGCCGATATCTCTTGCTCCACAGCGAGCACGAGCAGCTACGAGAGTGAGCTACTTGTGCAACCAATACCAACGCAAACAGCTGTAATCATACACACAAAAATAGCGACCTCAAGCGTGGAGAAGCGCGAAAGGCCTCCAAAAGTTACTTCAAAATAATATTTACTGTAACAATTATAAGCAATCAGATTTTTACCATCAACAAACTATGACAACCGGCTCAATTTTATTCTTCGCATGTTCTTCATTCGCTCCTGCAGTCTCCGTTGAACATTATCCGTGTAGAATCAATTCGAACAGATCCCACAGTAGTTTTGTACAAATTCAGAACATAAAACAAACAATGACTTTAAGCGACTGGATCAAAATCTAAACCCCAGTTGTCTCCTCCTATCATGGAACTAATGAACCGTTCATTTATCGTAGACGGTTGACAATCGGCACCAGTACGGTTATTTACTCACGCATTTAGAAGTTGTCGTCGTCCGTCCAGTGTGGTCAGTTCTACGGGTTTATCCGTAGGTCTACGGATTCTTAGATTTACTACGGACTTAAAATAAAATTCTACCGATTTTATTACGCATGTTGCACCAAGTTGCTCATGCCAGTAAACATAAAAATATACCATTCTCAATGTAATATAGTGCTACATTTTACAACAGGTTATCACATTGACATTCTAGTGAACATTGAAAAAAAAAATTATTTATTTTTTACCTGAGCGGAAAAATTGTGCGGTGTTATTTTTAGCGCAGGAGTCTAGTTTGGTGCAAAAGGCGTAATACAGCCACCGCTCATCACTTTAAAAAAAATAACTTTTTCAATGGCTGCTGTCGTTAAATTTACCAATAATGGAGCAGTTAGCAACACTGCGCCCGTCGCGTCGCACGTTGTGATCAGAGAACATGCAGCAAAACCCTGACATTTTTGCTCTCGCCGCATTTCGTGATGGAATCAAAAATCATTCATGAATGCAAAGAAACTGGCGGTCAAAGAATGCATTTTCCCCCGAGGCGAAGGAGACAACCGAAGAGAGTCGCAGTCACGTGAGAAAAGCTACTGTTTTCTCTCGCACTCGCCTTCATGCCGCACACGCACACCACTTGGATGGCAATCACTCAGCGGCTTGTGGTAGGTGAGACACTCACACCAAGATAATCATTATTTATATGATTCGCTCTTCTTATCAGTGCATCATGAAAACCATCTGCTACAGGCAAGGCATTCATGTCGCGCGACAATTTTGTCAGATTGTGTGGCAGCGTTGTCAGATTGTGTGGGTGCATTTATTTATTAGGGCTGTTAATCCACACGTTTTAGTTTTGAAAATATTCTGAACTTCCCATGGTATAGAAAATAATGTTAATCAAAATACGGTGATCAGCTCCAACTCTGATTAACTTTTAAAACTGGCTCTGATATGAACATCTCTATCAAATGTTTGTTGAGGATCGTATATTTATTAACACCCTGATTAACACCAACATTTATTTTAAACGATTAGATTTCCCATCCGGGGGTGGTGCTTGGCAAGTATCTTTGTCATATAATATGTAAGAAAGGAGGGACTCCTGATGTTATTCTATATATATAGTACCATGCATGTTTTCCCGAATAGAAATTTACATTAGCCCAACGTTTGATTTTGATGTCTACATCAGCATCGAAATCAAATGTATGCCTGATGTCAAACATTAGAAAACATTATGATTTAGTTGTATTTAAGCAACGTAACATGGACTTCGATTGCCTTCTATTGACGACCTTCGAATGTGCAGGAAGGCAGCTTCTACACCTTGGTAGGAATATTGCACCCATTCAACAACATACATGGGCCGGGACCAACGGCTTTTTTTTTTGCATGCCTACTTCGATTTAACCGAATTTGAATTTTCTTCCTTCAACCTAGCCTTCAACACCAAGAGTAAGTATGAAGGAGCCTCTATGCTCGCCTCTATGTACAAATGCAAGAAAACGATTATTTTTTGCCCAATTTTGCCCAGCTTCGAGCTATTGGGTTCTTTAAGGGTATTGGCGTCTTGCAGTGAAACTTTTCCAAGCTTTCGTCACCTACATTTCGAAGTGAGAACTACTACAAGGAGGATAGTTTCTAAACTTTCCAAGTAAAACAGACGATTTTTGGGCCAAATCGGTCCATAAACAAAGACAAATAATTTCCCGTGAAAACTTTTGCTTGAATCGTGTAAGAAAACGTGTTTGCAAACTAACTGTTATTATTTCGGTATGGATCGGAGATATTTTCATGGAAAATTATGCATAACAAGTTTGCATCCACAGGGAGAGGTTACCTCTTGCGCAGCTGCATTTTTCGGAAAATTGTTAATATGTGAGATTTCCACTAAGATGAAAGTGGGAATTAAGTGAATTTACTTAGGAAAGATTGTATCATGCTGGTGATAATGGAGAATTGGTTGTATACACACTCATTTTTTATCGCTGGAAATCAGCAATATTTTGCTGGATTTTTCCGAGCTGAAAGTTCAGCAATCCATCCAGCAAAATATTTTTGCTGGACGACCAGCACTTTAGTCCACTGCCAAATTGACAGCACTTTACTGATTATCCAGCAAAACGGAAGATCAATCATTTTGCTGGAAGAGCAGCAAATCTCGACTGCTATTTATTTTTTAAGAAAGAGGCATCTCATTGTTGGAATAAATATTTTATTATACTTCCATGTAGTTGTAAATAATAATTTATTAAATGTGATTGCACTTTTTAAAGAATTCATGTGACTGCACTTATTAAAAAATCATATCTTGAAGAAGCTATGATGGGCCATCCTGGGTGAGTTATTGTTGTTGTTATTGTTCCTGGGTAAGTTTACGAATGAAGAAAACTGTAAATTTCAGAGAAAAACGAAAGTTTTTGAACTTAATTGAGGTTACTAAGGTAGTTTAGTATTACTTACTTCATGACAAAAGCTCTTTTTATATAATTTCCATGATATTTTGTTAGTCGAACACTTTTTGAACATAAAAATAATCATAAATCGAGAAGGAGCAAATGATAGATTTTGGCCTAATTTTGACGTTTCATACAGTGTACTGGAACGTTCAGCAAAATATTTCATATTACTGATTTTTCAGTTAAAGGTAGTTTTGCTGGACGCGACTCAGCAATTCATTTTGCTGGAACAGAATTTCAAAATTTGGTGTGTAGGACGCCAATATTCAATAAATGTTCATTTTGGCCTTTTTTAGGCAAACCTATTGATACTCACAATTTTCGACGGAAAACGCAACGGAACTTGATTTACTCAACACGCACCATACTATAAAATGGTGCTAGATGGTTTTCGAAGTGATAACAAGATGACAAATCATCTTTATTTTGAGTAATTGAGCAATTTACTTCTGTTTACCATCATATTTACGATGCAGCATTGATGGAGCCGTGAAATCAAATGAATATATCTTATGAAAGTTCATCTGGACAAGTCAAAGATGCACATCAGTCTGATCGTAAAAACGTTTTCTTCTTCAATTCGAATGTTATATTGGAAGGATTTTACGCAGGCTTGATGAAAATTATGATTAAATGCAAATTTTCACGAATTTTATATGCAGTCTGTCAACATTATCATCATCATGCAGTGGTGACATCTGCGTTGAGCTTTTACGACAATCTCCCAATTGAGGTAAATTCAAATTCGTAATCTGTATTAGAAATGGTACCCAAACCCAAAATTTCATCAATTTCGGTACACTGGAACTATTTCAAATAAGAACGATTACATTTGCAAAAATCACCCTATTAGCGCCCCTCGATGTCACTTTGTCAGTTTAGTGTCAAACAGTGAAGTTATTATTTTGCTTTAAATCTTGATTTAAAAATCGAGATGAAAGTGTGTGGGTTCGAAAAAAAATATCGCTGTGCTCAGAAAATGAAGTTCTTTCAGATGATATATAAAAACCGATATATTTTTCAAAATTAAAGAACCCAATTGACCTTGGAAGTAGTGCTAATTTTTCGTCAAAACCTTGAATATCTTAAGAAATATGGAAGAAATGTTTGTTTAATATTATCTAAAACTTTGTTCAAGACACTATTTTGCTATCTCGACAAACTTCTAGGTCGATTAATCCAAAACTTCTCCGAAGACATTATATGGCTTAAATGGACCGTTTTCGCATAAACAAAAAAAACGCATGTTTTGGCACTTTTAGACCACTGTGTTCTATGTTTGACTGACGATGATCGGTTTCTGTACGTGGCGAATAAGTATGGAATCAGTGTCCGATGGGAACTGAAATGTTTGTTAGTGGTCGATTAGATCATGAGCTGGACGGACACTGGAGCTGGTGAATACTGTGGACATTAGACTGATGCAAAATTTGAAATTTTCGCTCCACAGTGCTTAAACGGCTCCAAATTGGGTCCTACTTAGCCTCCTCAAATTTGAACTACTTTAGTAAAAAACTGACTTGGCACAAACCATTTCAAGTTTATATAAGAATTACTATGGGAAAACTTATGTTTTTGTTCATATCTATCTAACAATTCACCACATCACTATGCTTTTAAAGCAGTGATTGTAGCAAATTTTCTCAGCTACAACTTTCTCGAAAACAATTTTTCAATCAAATGTAAGGAACAAAAGTTATTAATGAGTCAAGTCACTGATGTCTTATTATTATGCTCATTCAACTGTTCAGCAGGCAACATTGGTGTTTCTGGTGCGAAGAACAGAGCACAAATATCATGGCTACTATGTCACACTGCAGAATACAGTGTTGCCACAGAACAGCTGCTTGATCATGCCTTAAGATTATTAATCTCTTAAACAATTAATAACAATTTAATTTGACATTTGACTGAAAAACAATTTTCAGCAAAGTTGTAGCTTATAAAATTTCGCGTAAGAATAGTTATATAAATTTTCGAAAAAGCAATATGGAAAATGGGCAGAAGACAATG